AAATTGTGTGTGGTTTTTTTTTTTTTAATGTACAGCACATTGTTTAGAGAAAGGAAGGAATAACAGAATATTCTGCTCAGAGCCTTCCAGTCACCTGCTCTTGGTAAATCATAATAAACTGATATTGAGCATATAACATTGGTTACAACAGAAGACACAAAAATCATGCTTGCAGTGTTGTCCAAAATTTTTCCCAGTGTCTAGTTCCCTGTCTACTTCAAGTGATACAAACTCCACAGTATATTCAGGCATCACTTCAATCATCCTGATTATTACTCCTGCTTTCTTTGATAGCATCAGAATCTAATACTATTTCTGCAGTGTTGCTTAAAATTTCCTGTGACATTCTTAAAATGCTTCAACTTTCATCTGAGAAGATGGTAGCAACCTCTTCCAGAGCACCAAGTGATCCCTGACCATTGCCCAAATTTAGGGTGAGAAAAGAGAATTTTTTAAATTGCATAAAAGCTGAGTAAAATGCTGTTTTATTGACACATGATTCCTTTATTTAAAATTATAAGTATTCCAGATTTTAAATTATGTATTATTTATTTTATTTTGGACACTACACTAGGAATATCATTCCTTCAGCATTTGGGTTAATGTTAAAAAAATGTGTATATAAATATGGTAATTGAACAGAAGTGGGATGTATTGCAAAGAATGAAAAGATTTTTGGTTTAGAAAGGAGATGTTTGGAATTAAATTTCAGAGACATGGACATCTTCATCTTATGTTACTTTTTAACATAATGATAAAAATGTAGAAAGTAAGGTTTGCTGTAGATATATGTACAATAGAAAAATACATTACCTAATACCTCTTCCAACAATAAAATGAAAATATATGGTTCAGTACCATTTAGAAAATAATTGTTAAAATACTTCTTTTGTTTAGTAATAGAGTGAATGTGTTTGATTTCCAAGCAAACTAAACTCCAGAGCACAGGCCAGAAGGGAGCTACAAGGTGGTCTAAGAGGTCTCTGTACAGAGACATCCAGGGTACACAGATTGTGTACCATGCCATGGAGCACACTTCCCTCTAATATAAACACAGCTTATTATTACACACAAAAAAAGCCCCAAAGGGAAAGCATTTATCCCTGTTTTTCCTAGATTCCTTCCTGTATACCTTTTAAATGCATTGGTTGGTTGTACCAATACTATTTCCTCATTGTGGTCATTTACACCCTGCCCCTGTGGTTGGATCCATCTGCTGAAACCTTCTCCTCGTGGGAGTGGGCTCAACAAAGAGTCTCTGCTAAGGGTGCTGGTGTGTTTTCCTCATTTTTGCCCATCTTTCATGCAATAGTGATGCCTTCAGCATCACAAAACATGCTTTCAGCTCTGTATTTAGACAGGGTCAACATTCCAGGTTCTGCTAATTCCCACTGACAGGAGAGAAACGTAAGAACAGAATGTTTCATGCAAGAACAAAGCTGTTTAAACTTTGAAGGCCTCCAAAGTATAGCCTTGGGCAAGAACAAAGGAATTCCAGCAAAACACAAATAAACATCTTATAGTCTAACTCCACCTGTTTCCTTGAATTTGGCAATCCAGGCATAATGAATGCTTTGAGCCAAACCCACCCGTGAAGCTGAGCTAAAAGGTCAGATTCAAGAACAGGTCACCTTTTGGTTGACAACACTTTAACTAAACAGCCTGGTTTATTCCTCTCCCAGCTAATGACAAATGGAAGAAAATAAAGACTTGAAGTATTATTAAACGTACTTTTAAACCAAGATCCAGATGATGCAGTCAGTGCTGGCCGATGGGTGGGGTTTGTCCTGGTAGGTGAGGTGGGTGCCATCACTGACGCAGAGAAACACAATGGCAGCATTTCTCTCTCTGTGTTAACCTGAAGTTTAAACAGGGGGAAGGAAGGTTAGAGCAACTTTCATAATAAATCCTGCAGCACCGAAATGTTCAGGCTCTCTCTCAGTCCACGTGTAAGTGCCTCCAGGTCCTCCCTTAGAGACGCTGGTTGAGCTGTAATACTGTCTGCTGATTAAAACCCAATAGCTTCCATTACAGATTTCCTCAGGAAGGAATGGAGCTATGCTCAGGCACCTGAGACAAGAACAGTAACAGCCTAGGTTTCCATAACAGCTGGAAGGTGACACATGAGAGAGAGCTTTCAGATTCTGACTTTTTATCTCATTTTATCTCCATCAGTTTGATTCAAATTGCAAACGTATTGGAAGAGAGTAAAAAAAGGAGTGTTTTGCAAACATTGGTCACATGTTTTTAAGCTCGTGTTTTTAAGCTATGCAAACTGCACGTCGGCCCTGAATAAAGTATATCAGTGCACAGTTAAATGTATTTTAGTTTTCTTCATTGTGTGATGATTTGTTAATGTCTCATTTTCTTCATGCTGCAGCACAGCTGGTCTGCAAAGAACCCAGTCGGAAAGCCTCCAGTGGCAATATTCTCATTTAGCCATCACCTAACAGTCTTACAGAAATGTAGAGTAGGACTCTGCCTCCACTGACATCTTACTGGGGGCTTGATTTTGTAGACCTTTGCCATAATTTCTATTGCATAATTTCTAGACCTTTGCTATAATTTCTTCAGCTGAAAGGTCTGAATAGGGACTACAGAAGTAGAATTCCTGGAAAGGAGAGTCTCTGGAAAGCGTGACCTCTGGCACACACTTCAGGCAGCTCACAGCTGCTTATTGCTCCCACATTTATTAATCCCTCAGTCTTACGGACTGACAACAAATAATCTAATAATGTCACTTGTATTGTTACAGGCATAAATGAGCTTTAGAGGATTACATCCTTTAGTATTATATTTTTCACTGTATTTTTTCTTAACTTAATATGCTACCAGGTGAAAACTGGAGGTTTTTTACAGTCTCTTTTTCATCATGTAATGCAATAATTACATAAAAAATTTAATCTCAACTCTGAAAGAAAATCAGCTGTTACTTTGACTATCAGGAGTTCATCTCTCAAGATTGAGAGCATCAGATATTTACACCTGAGTACGAGCCACTGGGAGGCTATTTCTGTCAATCTCTCTTTATACATACAGTTTGGGATCACTCTTTATACATACAGTTTGGGATCACTCTTTATACATACAGTTTGGGATTACTGAACGAACCAAAAGCGATCAAAAGCTGTAGTCAAACCAAAATGTTTAATGCAAAACAGTCCTACAGAGACAACAGGTCATTGCATTCTGTCATCTTCTCTTCCTTTCCCTCTTATTAGCACACACTTTGCCTGCTTAGAATTCAAGAGCCAAGCAGTGAAAAAAGAGTTTCATAATCAGAGTATTTCAAGCAGGTAGATGCATAAAATTCATCATGTCAATTAAAAAATAAGCCTTGCAGTAAATGTCTCATCAGACAAGTTGTCCTTCTAAACCCCTGCCTTTCTGTTGTCTTATCTAGTTCGTGTATGTGTCATACCCATTGAAAACTCATCATCTGTGCTGCCAGGATCTGCCTTCACTTACCAATCAGTCACCAAACCATTGGAAGGCCGCTTAAGTCTGATTGAGCATCCATGCTTCCTGAGCTCATGCAGTTCAGCTGAATGATCACCAGCTGCCCTAGCAAGCTCCCAGACAGAGGCAAGAGCCGCTTCTTCAGGGCAGTGTGCCGTTGATCCCTTTATTTGCAGAAGCAAAGGGAACGTTAATTTCCTAGAGTAACAAATTGTGGTCAGTCTGTGGTGTCTGCGTAAATATGCACACGTACAAGCCCAGGAACAGAGCCTAGTGCTGATGTTAAGGAAGTAACTTCTAGTTTTACATAAACAATGAACAGTTTCAGCTCCGGCTGCTGCTTCTGAGTGTAGCCCGTGACAGAACTCTTAGGATTCTCTAGTGCCAAGAACAACTCTTAAATCAGCAATCAGAGGCAAGGGTGAAACAAAATAGGTCTTGACATTGGAAAATAACTTGATAAGCAAAATAAGAACCACAAGACTATAATTTGCTAATCACAAGAAGATGTCTGTCTTTTCTCAAAAATACACAATTTCGTACAGTTTCATTCAAGATGACACATAACATGATGCTCAGGCTTGGCAGATAGTGATGATTCCATTTTGTGGAATTACCAAGGTTTCCAAGTTTGGTTTCAGTGTGGAACAAGACTCACCATTTCCTTTGCTTTCTGAAACAGAGCTGGAATGTCACACAGGCAGTGATCAGAGAGGTTCCCAGGCCAGGCTGCTCACGACAAGGTGCTGGGCTCTGCTTCCTTGTGACCCATCATAAGAAAGAACCTTTTCCTCTGGGATGTCTTGCTTTCAACAAGCTGGAAAATTTCAATAAAAAATTGTTTTGCTGGAATTTGCTTTGACAGCTCTAGCGAACGTGTTTATAACAATTACAAACTAGCAAAGACTGTTAACTGAGCAGAATGAGGAAAATCAATATTTGATTTTTGAGAGGGAAAGAATAAGGTGGCAAATGGGAAAGGCTGAATTTAATTTCAATTCCCAATTTCTTTTTACAGTACTGTAGAACAACCCAACAGTCCAATAACAACAGCCTCAGGTTTATGCTGCAAGTACTGGTTCATAATGATATGCCTGGCAGGAAATGGTTTTCTCTAAATAATCATGCATTCGGGTCATTTGCTCTCTCTTTGCTCTACTTGGCACCTGAGGTGACTTTCATCTCTTCTGATCTACAAAAGTAATCTCTGGAGGGCAAAGGACAAAGCAGGAGGCTGGGGAAAAGGGTCCAGGACTGAGCTCTCAAAGCTGTTTCGGCTGAAGGCAGCGGTCCTGCTGTTTAATATCTTGGCATTTGATTCACTCGGGGTGCCCCCCAGCATTTCACTGGTCAGGAAGATCCAGGCACCCTCAGAGGCTTCTTCCACACCTCAGCCTTCCCTGCCCTAACTTGGGTGGCCGGACAAATCACCTGAGCACGCCCAAGTGTAAGGGAAGCCTACCTCCCAGTCCTCCGGGAAGTGGCAGGAACACGTGAAAAACACTCTGGATGGGAAGCAGAGATCACCATTTGGGTCGAACTCAGGTGGTGTAGCTGGTACAAGTGGCCACGTCCTCCCCGCATTCCAGGTTCTCCTGCAAGAGCCCCGGGAAAGCGGCCACAGAACGGACCACGGGCAAACCCGCGGCCTGAGGCCGCTCCCGCCCCGCCGCCCGGCCCCGCCCGGCCGGCCCTCACCCGCCTGATGAGGATTCGGACCCCGCAGGGGCAGGGACAGCTGTAGGTCCCGGTCTCTTCCTCGTACGCGAAGTCCTCGATCTCCACCTCGTCGTGGAACACCGACATAGCGGCGGGAAGCGGCGGGAGCCGGCACGGGGGGAAGGGCAGCGGCGGCTCCTGCCGGGACGCGGGGTGGGGAGGACGGAGCTCTCCTCCCGGGACGCGGCGGGGCCGGTGGGGACTCGCGGGATGTGAGAGAGGGATCGGGGGGATTCAGATGGGGATCAGGGTGAGGTAGGTCAGGGTAGGCGGTCGGAACGATCCATTGATTCCGAGTGAGGAGAGGAAGGAGCCACGGAAAAGTCAAAAAAGTAGCGCTCGTTTCTCTGCGTGGAGCAAAGGAAGTAAGGGGGGATTTGGAGTGGCTATTCCTGTACCAGCTAGGGTTAGAAGGGAATAAAGGGAGAACATCCCACCTGACAGGAGCTTGGGAGACTGAAGCAGTGCACTCCATGGAGGGCAGGGAGTTGCCAAAGAGCTGGTTGGGTGGAGAAAGCCACAGGGGTGACAGATGGGACAGAAGCTGTTCACATTGCGTAAAGGTGTGATTCACACCTGTCCGTGGTAGAGGACAACCAGGGCTCATTAAAAGACATTTTGGAATTTATTAGTTCCAGAGTAAAAATGACAACCGACTTTATTGTCATCTTCGTGATTGGAAAGTGATTGATGACAATGTAAATGGAACAAGGATCTTGAACTACTGTTCAAGAGTCATTTCTTATTTATGATAGAGTCTCAGTCTTAAAGT